CTTGAATTTATATCTTTGAGTCAAGCTTTTAATGCCTGGATTTCTATCCCTGGAACGAATCCTGCTCCCTTGAGGGTGTTGATCGAACGACCTGCGCGTTGATCGGGGTTCTGTTTGGAGTGTTTAAGTTGATGATCCGGTGCTGGGCTGATGGCCGGCCATGTCTTTCTGCCTCAGATGAGTTTGTTCGGATCTGCTGTGACTCACTTGGGCGAGAGGAGTCCAGCTGCTCTTGGATGGCAGTCTGCGCGTTTGTCAGAACGTCAAGGCGAGTGCTAGTTCGCCTGAAAAGGTCGTCCTGCTGGTCGAAACGTTTCATGAGCGTGCTTAGTATATCTGCGAAGCTAACTTGCCCATCTGAGACAGTGACGGGCTCGCTTGAATGAGGTCGGGTTCTGCGGTCCTTGTCCCTTCGTCGATCGTTGATTGAGCGTGGTCTGCATTTGTTGTAACGATCAAGACAGAGGTCGTTTTGATTGTTTTGGCAGTCTCCGGAGTGATTATGTTGTTGTCTTGTTGACTGGTTGAGGCGTCCGGACTCATTTTTCCTGGCGTCAGAAAATCTCCAAGTCCCCTACCTGGCGCGCCAATTGTTTAACCCAAAGGACTCAACAATGAATTTGTTGTAGATAAGAGGTCGGAGAGTTTCGTGTATTAGAATTCGAGCCCGGAATAAGCGTTACAAAATAGACCGTAGAAGATAGTCCGGACAGATCCCGGTCTATCAAATTGTGATGAATCAAAGAGTGTGTAGCAGACCGGACAAATCCCGGGCTACGCAGATCGTTGCGAGCTAATAAAGATATGTAAATGTTTTCGGTGTTTTCTGGTCGGTGGTGACCTCCCGGCGAGCTCTCTGTCGGAGTTAGAGACCTGAGCGGTGATACTTTGGGTCCCTTGTACTTTCTTTCAGAGGAATAGAAGATGAATGGTCACATCACATTATACTCCTATTTATAGTACAAGGTTGAGGGTACATCCTAGGTTTTATTAACTGTAGTTACCGAATCTGACTCATGTTTAACCGGACCATAGTTACTGTTTGAGTTGGACTTCCACTGTTCACGGGCCGCTGACCGTTGGGTCGTAGACTGTTTGGGCCGCAGGTTCAGGCCCAACAATTTTCCTATTTTCTTGCGTCTCAAATCAACGAGAAACCAAATTTCTCAACCATGGCTTTCTAGGGGCTAATCTCCTCAAGTTTGGCTCGTCCAAGGTCCATCCCAGTGGCCTCTTGGAGCTGACGGACACTTCTATGAGGCAAACCGGTCAAGCTTTTCATGGCTTTTCCATATCCTTCTTCAACCCTAACTCTTCTAATTCTATTTATTTTTCGACAAGTTTCGTCTTCGCTATCACCCCAAGACCCGGCGCTCCAGGTCATGGCTTTGCTTTCATCATTTCACCCTCGATGGACTTTAGCAAAGCCCTTCCCAGCAATTATCTGGGCCTCTTCAACAGCTCTAACAATGGGAACTCCWTGAATCGGATTCTTGCAGTTGAATTCGACACGGTACAGGCCGTTGAGTTGAACGATATTGATGATAACCATGTTGGTATCGACGTAAACGGAGTGGTCTCCATCGAGTCTGCACCGGCCGCATATTTTGATGACCGAGAAGCGAAGAACATAAGTTTGAGGCTTGCGAGTGGAGACCCGGTTAGAGTCTGGATCGAATACAACGCAACGGAGATGATGCTCAATGTCACATTGTCTCCTTTAGAACGTTCGAAGCCAAGTTTGCCTCTTCTCTCAAGAAAAATGAATCTTTCTGGGATTTTATCCGAAGAACATTATGTTGGTTTCTGTGCAAGTACAGGAACCGTAACGAGCACACATATTGTTCTAGGTTGGAGCTTCAACATCGAAGAGAAAGCACAAGGTTTTGATATCACGAAGCTTCCTTCTCTTCCGGACCTTCCGTCTCCATCTTCTCCATCTCCGAGTCCTCCAGATTCAGTGAAGAAGAATTCGATCAGCAAAAAGGTGATCATAATCATCCTACTCTTCGCTGTATCAGCAACAATTGCAATCATGAACCTAACTCTCCAAGTGTGGCTCTACCGTAGAAACAAAGTATTGATCACTGGAGCTGCATGGAAATTTTCCTACCGGACGATTTCACGAGCAACAGGAGGTTTTGACAGCTCTAAGCTCCTGGGAGAGAGAAACTCTGGCAGTTTCTATAAAGGGCAGCTTTCTCCTACAGATATAATCGCAGTGAAGAGAATTACTTGCACTACAAGGCAACAAAAGAAAGCCCTAATAGCCGAGATCGTCGCAATCTCAAGACAAAGAAACCTTGTTAGTCTATTTGGTTACTGCAGCAAAGAAAACGAAGTCTATCTCGTTTACGACTATGTCTCCAACGGAAGCCTAGACCGGTTCTTGTTCAGCAACGACCGACCAATTCTCACCTGGTCCGATCGGTTCTGTATCATAAAGGGGATTGCGTCAGCACTTTATTACCTTCACAGCGAAGGTCGAAAACTCGTAATTCACGGAAACGTCAAAGCCAGCAACGTACTCTTGGACGAAGAGCTTAACTCTTACCTAGGAGACTATGGACAAGGAAGCAGACACAGCACCACTGGACACATGGCGCCAGAACTAGCCGAGACAGGAAAATTTACACTTGAAACAGATGTGTATGCGTTTGGACTGTTAATGATGGAAATTGTCTGTGGAAGGAAAGCCATGGAGCCAACAAAACCACCTGAACAGATCAGTTTGGTGAACTGGGTGCTTCAAGGGTTCAAGAAGAGAGATCTGTTACAACTATGTGACTCGAGAATCAATAGAGCGGAATTGGTGGCTCGAGAAGTGGTGCTGGTTCTTAAGACAGGACTTTTGTGCGCGAACCGGTCTCACGAAGCTAGGCCGATGATGAAGAAAGTGTTGAAGTATCTTCACGGTACAGAACGTCTCCCTCATGACGATTACCTCTTCAATGGAGTCTAAAAGGTGATCTCGAGACGTGGTTGTGAACAAAACCAAGAGGAACGTATACTCAAATC